CCAAAGGAAAACATAAACAACAAAAACAACAAGAGACTGTCGTGTGAATTACATATAAAGTGAATTTGTTTACATTATAATGTTGAAAAATCCATAATGATCTGAGCATGTTTGCATTTCGCGTTGCTGGTAAGGATTGGAATTAGGCTGTTTCGCATGTTTGCTCGCGGGATAGCTGTCTTCTCCCCTAGAGTTTCTATCATACCATGTTGGGAAATAACAACTTTCGTTTCTACTTCCTTCTGTATGCTTTTCACCCCACCACTCGCTGGTTCTCCCATTTGAAATCTTAAATCTCGCTCAGTCTCGTTAATTGTGGTTAATTTTTGTGAGGTCAAATAAGACGTATCCGTATAAAACTACTTCGTGAGGTGACCACATAACAACTATAGTATAGATGACATGTTGTCGGCCAATTTTTTAATTGAAATAGTGACTGAAGTACAATTCTAGGCTCATAAGGACCACTGCAATGTGGGTAAAACATTTGCGTGACCCTTCCATTTTGGTCAAAAATTTCAAGAACAAAGCCAAATTTGAAAAAATAAGAGTTTTCCACATAATTTTAAAAGTTCTTTCAAATAAGCGGCACTATACTTTATTGCTATACCCATCCTAAATAACTTATAAGACAAGAACTTATCTCCTACTCTCCAGGATTGACGTATACTGCGTGAATATATAGGTCTGTATATAGTTATAGAATCATAGAAATGGCAATTTACTCCCAAAAAGGGGGTAAGCCCCCCAAAGGGGACCAGCCCCCTGGGTGCTTATGTTTTCCTGTAGTTCTGGACTGGGAGTTTAATTCAAGGTGGGGTTAAATGGAGGAAATGCTGTACATCATCTCTTGAAAGACGATGTACCTTTATTAATTCAAACATCATCACCGATTCATTAGAAAGATTTAATTTCATTTAAAATTCACCTAGGTCTATGTAATACACTTTAAAACGGATTAAATTTAACAAAGTAAATTGATGCAAATTAACGTTTGCACATTAATTAAAAATATGCAACTGTAATAAAAATTAAAACAATTAAATTGTTATTTGAACGTTCTAACATAAATAGAAAACCGAAAAACTTATTTACATATAATAAAAAAGAAATTATAGACATAGGGATATAAGGATCATAAATTATCCATTGTCCCGTTGTATAATTATTCCCCATCATTTCACTATTTTTTATTCCTACCCACGGTGGCCTTGCAATTGTCCTTAACAACTAACTTGTAGCGTCCATAAAAGTTGACCCATTGGTATTTTAAAATCTTTGCGTTGAGTGTATTCTTGTAATATGTTTCCAATATTTCATTTTGAGATGAATTTCCAGGTTCGTCCAACTTCTGTGTCAGCTCGTTGAATGCTTTGAAATGTTTTTCGCACGCTGATTTGAAATTTATCCAATGCTTAGTCCCTTCGTTGTAACGTAGCACATAATCTAAGTTCGGAGTTCGAATAACATCGTATTCGGCGCAATTTGCAAAGGGTGGCAAACTATTTGATTTCTTTTTTTTAAATCCCTTAAAGAAAATCTTACAACTTACGCAGGGCGGTTTGACTTTGGGTTTGTTTTCGTTTCCTTTGTATGGAGACTTGTCAGATGGTACAAATCTTATTCTTCTTCTTTTCACGCTTTGAAAGGCGTTCACGTGTTTGAGTTTCACACCATCATCGCTATTTTCAACATTTCTCAATTGATTCATTTTAATATAAAGGTATAATGGTCGAAGAAAGGGTCGGACTCCAAGGGATACACCATAGCAATCTTGTCTCTCTTTGTGTTCTGCCCATACTACAGGTTTTAGACGATTGCCATCAGGCAAGCCCTCCAAAACTGTTCGACCAATTTCGGCAGCATTCTTATGATTCTTGATCTTATGAATACGAAACAGATCTCGCACCTGTATTGAATAAAAAAGGCAGAAGTGCTGCAGCTGATATGTCTTAAGGCGTTGATACATCTGACCAGCAATTTTGCTGCTGGGAGTGGGATTTTGGCAAATCGTTGACAGGGAAAATGGGATTGAACAATTTGAACCCACCCCCTGTACCTTCCTTCACAAACCCTTTAATTTGTGCGGAGCTCACTTGTGTTTATATACTATATGTAATCTAGCTATGCAGTTGCGGAATTGTGGTAAATCTGGCTGTGACCTTGGGAAATATCATTATTTCGGGTAATATCTCGCCGAACCCTCTCTCTCCGCGAGTCTATAAATGATAAATATATTGAAGTACTCACCATTTCTAAAAAAATATGAGCGGGCTCTCTGTGTGAACTTTCTAGACTGGACGTTCCATCGCTAAATTTAAATTGCCAGAATTCTTCTGTTGCTACCTCTTCGCAGTAATACACTAGAGAAGTACAGTCGAACCCCTATAAGCGGACACCTCTTTTAAGCGGACACATATCTCAGGTCCCATTCGTTTTCTTTAATAAAATACTATTATCATAACCCCTATTAAGCGGACAACCCTCTTTAACGGACGCGGACACCTTTCTGGAGGTCCCAATGGGCAAATCAACCTCTCTTAAGCGGACAGATGACACACTGTCTGATAAAATGTATTCAATATTCGACAGTAAATAACAATTGAGATCAATTTACATGGCACATCGACACACCATGCAACTCGGCGCGAAACTACATCAGAGCCGAGATTATTGAGGAAGTGACGAACGAGGCCGGAGGACTGTGAACCGCCAGTCATGATGATACTCAAATTACACAACTAATTACACACCTTTGCCTCCTGCTGTGTTTTTCTACATACCCCTTTTAAGCGGACACCCCTTTTAGGCGAGGTCCCGAAGGTGTCCGCTTAATAGGGGTTCGACTGTAGTTTTATTGTCTTTCATTGTTATAATCAACCAACCACTGCAGTATAGTATACTTAGGTAGGTGATAGATGGATAGTATAGGTAGACGATGACCCAGGGCCGATACATTTTATTATTATATTGTTGTATGATGCATTTCCATTATAAGACACAAATGTCGTTATCCTGATAGCCTGCAGTTAAAGAGAAAAATAATTTTGTTTATTTATAGTGATGATTTGGCCGTATATACTGTATATAAAACAATCGAAAAGTTACAAATGCACAATATTCTATTCAAGGCAATAAAATATGTTATGAAAAATGGTAAAGTATTATAAATATTTATAAATCTCAATCAACATGGACACAAACTTATATACAATAATTGATATTTTCCCGCAGTGTCAGCAGACGAATCGTTCACATCGCCTCGATTGGCTATCCCGTCATTACTACCTTAAATCAACAAGGTACAGTTCTACTTCCTACTAGAAATACATGCATGCAACGCAATCACTCTCCAACGTTTTCCAAAATTGTTTCAATTAACATGAAGTATTTTAGTAACGGCAACACGGAACGGAGGCTTGCGTTGCTCGCGTCATGTTGGCCATGGCAACACGATAATTGTTTTCTTAGTTTTCTGTTCAAAGCGGCAAAAATAAATGAAAATTTTATACGTATAACCACAGAACTGTCGATTTCTAACATATATAAAATAGGTATGTTATTTTGCTTTGTATGCATGGGCTTATTATAATGCAAATAATAAAATAACATGTATATAACGCGTGCTCTGATTGGTGGAAACCCGTGTTTGGATCAGACCATTCAAACACGAAAGACTACCATGTTGTTGTTACTTTATAAAACAATTACTTTATGGTTTCCGTGTTTGGATGGCCTGATCCAAACACTTGGAAATGTTGCTCGAGTTAATTTAAGAAAAGCACGCAAAATCACTCGCCTTCGGCTCGTTAATATCACTCGTACTTTGTAATGCTATATACATTTAAATCATACAGGTAGCTCTTGAAAATAATTTTCTTCCTTCTTTTATTAAAAATTAAAACAAAGTTAACTTTCTTATAGAATCAAAAGCACAGATGTACATGTTCAAGGATTTCAGGCGAAAAGTCTGAAAACTGGACAGCATTAAAATTTGAAAAAAAGATGTGCAAAAAGATGTCCAAGCGGCAAGCTTTCTGTCATGCATGTTTTTTAATCTTTGCTTCATTCACTCCTGGCAAACAGCTATATTTTTGAGATCAGTGAGATGGCCACCCATGCATGCATAGCCATGCGCCCGCGATCATTGATAAACTTTAGACTTCGCTAATGCTTTCCTTTCCCCGGGTGTAAATAGCCGAACGGAATTAGTACCCTCGCCTCGGGCGTCGCCCTACGCGCTGTGCGCGTGGCTCGGGGACAAGCCTTAAGGCCCAAACAGACCGGACGCGATTCGGCAACGCGACGCGAATTTTCAGTTTTCAAAAACAAATAAAACCGTCAACGGATAAAAATTTTACAAGATATGCAGGCCAAATAGCTAAAATTGCTTAAGTGGTTCCGAATATTTGAAAAACATAGAAAAATAGTAAAGTTAAAAGTCATTGAAATTTGAAAATTCGCGTCGCGATGACAAATCGCGTCCGGTCTGTATGGACCTTTAAGGTCCATGCACACCGGACGCGATTCGACAACGCGACGCGATTTTTTAGTTTTTGAAAGTTAATAAAACAGCCAATGAAAGCTAATTTTGAAAGATATGTAGACCAAATAACTCAACGGCAGTATTTACATATGCAAGAATGTTTCGGGTAAGATCGTATTCGAACATAATGCTAGAATGAACACATCGGTGTCTGGAGAGTCGACGAGAACGGTTTAGCAGCCCTAATTTGGGGCATGCATGAGCGGCATGTAGCATCAATCTTGTGTCCGCCACTTCATGATCGAACGAGAGCTGGCCGACTTGCTTCGGGATGACACGACCATCAACAGTCAATAACTTTGTGCACTCTTTTCCTGCTGTTACGAACAGCTGAATCCCTCCAAATAAGTACCCAATACTATTACTACCCATGCAATCATCTTTGACCAAGACTCCAACAAGAAAGCTAGTTTTATTTCCGCCATTTGAATTGAAATAAACTTTTTCCATCGTTTAAACAATTTCTGCATGATCGCGACATCGCGTCCGTAAATACGTACGTTATAATACTTGTGCCATGTGATGTTCGTTTTTCTCGTACTGCATTCTTTATAATAGGGAACTTTAGATTTGACGACTGCTACGAGAACGACTACGAGATTTTCCGTTAAATATCTACTACTACAAACTTGTTATCATCCTCTCTTTGGCACAGTTTGTAGTAGCAGATATTTAACGTGAAAATCTCACAGTCGTAGTCTTTCTCGTGGCCGCCGTCAAATCTAAAGTTTCCTAATGAGCTGTGGGTAACGGCTACAAAGTCAACACGGGATACTTTGAACTTGCGTGCGATAGAAGGTATTCGTGCAAGGATGTTACCAGCAAGCTCTCCGTACCTCTCCGGAATAGCAACAGTTGGCTGTAAAACTGCCATAGCATCACTGTCAAAACACTACCGTCAGCTGGAACTGCATCTACGTCTGCCACGCAATCTGGAAACTCCGACTCGAATATCTGGGGAAACTTGGACTTTGCTGTTTGGCAAATGTTTCCGACGGAAGAGAATATGGCCCCAAACACTACGAGAGCATCGATTGATCTCTTTTGTCAGATCATGAAAAGTCTGGCAAAACTTTTTGGGTCTGCATTCAGTGAAACAATGTTACCTTTCCATGTCAGTGTTGACTGTTGCAGTAGGTTACTTAGACGGGACAAATGTTTTGAGTTTTTGTTTTGCGATTGCAGAGAATATATCTTTCCCATCAACAAGTAACTTGTTCGAAACAAACTGTTCAAACACGTCATTCCCGTTGTCAAGTGCATCAACCAGAATTTTGAAGCAATTTAAAACATTCGCAGTGTGTGTTTTATCAGACCTAAAGAAACTCAGCTTCGCCTCCTATTTTTATATCTGATAAAACACTGCTGCTCATGCATGTTTTAGATAGTACTTCAAAAACGACCGATCAAGTAAGTTCACTGGAGAAGTAATTTTCAAAAAATACGTTGTGTAAGTCGAGAAAATCATAGTTAAAGTTTATGTAAATCAAGGTAAATCTCTATCACATAATAATATATAAAGATATATACGACACGCTTATGATTTTTCTTTGTGTTCCCCTCGACTTTATTTACAATAATTATACTAAAAAATAATTAGACAAAGATACACTAGTTTTAAAATAACGACAACAAAAGAACCCAAATGGGAAAAGGAACTCCAAGTCCCATGCGCGGCACTTCCATTAAAAAACGTAAGTCTATGTCCTATGGTAGAAGCAATCACGCATGAGGGTCATGTACACGCGGTTGATCAACATAAAACATTTGAGTATTTTTTAATTTGAGTATTAATAATTTGAATATTTATAAAACTTGCAACACATATTGATATCAACGAGTTTCGTAACTGTTTAGAAAGATGACTTTGAATTAAAGAAAATTAGTCTAAGAGCATTTCATACAAATTTCCTCCAGATATAACTTAACAATAATAAATATGCATTTTTTATATCCAATTATATTTTCTAATTTAATCAACTTTTCAAACGATGATTACCGAGCAGGTGATCATTCATGCGGTATAATTAATACAATGGAAATTTTACGTATTACACATTTTAATTCGTCGCCAAAATTGTAGTTCTTAGATATTCATATTATGCACTCGAGCGGGAAAAGATGCGTTGCAAACTATGAATTATAATATTCTCGACTTTGGATCTGGCAAAATCATGCATGCCGGTATAGCAGTTTAAATGTCTAATTGGCGAGAGAATGGCCACAATAAACTGCAGCCTTAATTAGTTTTAAAAATTTGCCGCCCAAATTAATGGCGGAAGTCAAGCAATGCACCACAATATATGTGCTGTGACGTCACTCGCAAGGGCGGAAAACAAAATGCGCGCACATTTCGATGATTA